TGAGTGTCAGTGTCATTAGGACAGCAACAAACCCATCATCATTACCAACACAGCTATCAGATGTTTGCCAGGCATTGCCTCATTTAGTCCTTACCATACACCTATGAAGTAGGTACTGCCATTACCTCATGTGACATATGAAGAAACTGAGGACATAAAGAGGGTAAGTAACTGTAAGCTCCAAAACCCTGGAGCTGGTGTGAGGAAGGCCAGTGCTCGGGGCCAGGCTTGAGTGACCTCACATCGCCTGTTTTTTCTGAACAGTACTCTAGTGCCTCTCTTTTGCACGTGGAAGAATCGTTTCCCTCCAACTGCTCCTTTACCTGCTTCGTACGTACTACTACGCCACAGTAAGATGGAGGCAAGCATTACAAGCATTACCCAGAAAGCAATCTGCAGCATGTCATGTGAACAAATCCCGAGCTCTTTGAGAGCAGGGAACTCCTCTGTACCCTGGCTGTAGGGCAGTGAAAATCACAGTCTCTGCCTGGTGTGTGGGGTGCGTCAGGCAAGTTACCTTTCTGTGTCTAGACGTCAATTCTCTCATCTGTAAAATGGAGACCATAACTCACACCCAACACTGCAGGGTGCATCATGAAGATTAACGAGATCATGTATATGTAGTACTCTCTCTGCGGTGACCACTGCCCTCTTAGGGTTCCTCGAGAATATATATAATGACTGTATATGTGACTGCTTTTGTTTCTCTAGATAAATTTAAGGCAGTGGTTGTAGAAGGAACACTAGCAGGAGCTTCTTTATCTACATGAGATAGACGGAGATAGACCAGTAGCTAGAGTATAGAGCATAGGGGGGATCTTGATTGATTGATTTCCAGGAATTGACTCATGTTTGCAGAGCCTGGCAAGTCCAGGCTGCAGCCTCTGTAGGTTTGCCTCCCAGATCTGTAGGTTCTGGGCGATGGAGAGTGTAGAGTGAAGATCAGAGAGTGCTGGCAAACTGGACTAGAGGCAGAACACACCTGAAGGGCACTCTCTTTTCAACGGATTGATGGCATCACCTTAGATTAAAGTATTGAGCAGCAACTAGATGACAGTTGGGCCAAACCACTAGGAACCATAGCGTAGTCAGGCTGACACATAAAATTAATCATTAAAACCATCATTTTCTATAACATAGGACTGATGATCATTATGATGTTACAAAAGTGTTGTGAAGACTGCCGATGAACCTCCTTGTGTCATAGTGGGTTATGTGTTTGGCTGCTAACCACCAGGTCAACAGTTTGCAGCCACCAGGCACTACTCTGGGAAAAGATGCGGTTCTCTGCTTCTGTAAAAAGTGTCAGCGGTAGAAACCCGGGAGGGGCTGTGCTGCTCTGTCTTGAAGGTCCCTGTGAGCTGGAACCAGCTCCATGGCCGGGAGCTGCAGTTGTCAGGGACGCCTAACCAGCTCTTAGTGCTTGGTACTTCATATCGACTGCATGAAGTTTAAATCCTGAAAGGCGGAGAGAATGTGATTTCTGATCTAATACCAACGGACCGACTTTGAGAATTTCAAAATAGTTTTAGCCTCTCACATGAACATGAGTTGAAGAGGGTTGGGCTACTGAAGCCAATAAGGAGTAACTTAAGCCTACTTCCCACCAAATGAATGCTGGTTTTATTGTTTGTGACAGACACTTATGTAATTAGAATAGTGGATCACAATACGACAACTTGTCTAGCGTACTAAGTGTCGGCGAGTTGCATCTTTATGCCTTCCCCAACTTCCAGGGAATCACCCAGTTTAAAATGCTACTGGAAAAAAACTTCTAAGATATTAAAATTGCATGCTTTCATTTGACAGAGATGTTTTGAGAACTTCTATAATTTAAAACTATCCTATTTGGGGGAAATATTGATTTGTGCATGGGCTAAGACCTTGTGTATGAAGTTTCAGCCTTGCAGGGATGTTTATGACAGAATTGCAAACTTAGAATGTCGGCGTGTAATGGGAGCGCTGACAGACTCGTAATTATAGAGCTGCGGCGAGGCACTGAGATGCCTCACCGGTCCTGCCATAAAGTAGACTGGCTTGCCTGTCTATAAATTTTGATATGTGATGTCGACAGTGAAAAGTGAATTTCTGCCCGAGGTTAAGTAAAAACTCTTTGAAAGGATAGTGACAGCATTTCCTTTATGTGGTTTCAAACTGTTTGCCAGCGACAGTGCCGAAAGTTTTCCTAGTTTGGCGTAATGTGCCCTTCCTTTCAACCGCTAAGTAGAAGACTGCACCATGTGAGAATTAATATTTCCTGTCCCTATTATTCATCATGTTTCTTTGCTTTCCTCAAAGGATGACTTCATGGGGAGATTTTTATAGTTGAGACATTTAGCTGCTACTGACAGATGCCTTTGTTCGCCAGCTTTTGACAGCTAGCATTTTTCAGAGAGTGGTCAGCAGCAGCAGAGAAGTCTGTTAGGTGAACGATGGTCACAGATCGGGATCTGGCCATCGGTTCAGTAGTTTCACTGAAATCATGGGCGCTGGAGTTGGATTTCAGAAAATTGATATAAAATCAATGGCAGTATGGATGGTGGCTGTGTCATCTCTCCCCAATGCCCCCAACCCCCAACCCCAGTAACAGAAAATGTAGCCTGCTGTTTTGAGGAGGAGTTAGGAAGAGTAGTAACTCTACAGCCCATCATGCTCAGGGGAGGGCTTGGGTGATTCTACAGGCGCCGCCGGGAAAAGAGATGGAAGATAGAGCCATCTCCTTCCTTTGTGCGGCAGGGACACTTCACAGCTACGCGCCCTTCACACCACAGCAAGCGTCTCCTCAGCGACTTGCTGCCCTGCCTCCCTCCCCGGCTTTAGTCTTTCCCAGGATCGTGTGTTCAGGAGAAAAGACAAGCTTCCTAAACGGCAGCCTCCCGGCCTCATCCCCTGACCTCTCCCGTGTACACTGGACTACATCCTTCTGAACTTGACTTGTTTCTTTGTGAATGCAGCCCTTTCTTCACCATGGCTTTCCCTCACCCCGGTCCTTCTGTCTGAAAACACTAATCTGACCTGCTTCCAAGCCGGCCTCCCTATGTAGCTGACTCCTCCGTGCCCTCAGGACTCCCGGCGCTGGGCTACGCGCGCGTCAGAGCCTGTCACAGCACTGTGTCCTCACAGCACTCGCCACTTGAGTGCACGTCTCATTCCCTCTGGACAACGAGCCAAGAGACCACGTTTGCAATGCACAGCCGTTTCCAGGGCCTGTGAAAATAATAGTGCTCAGTAAATACTTATTCTGCATCATTAATAATACCCT